CTATTTTAAAGTATTTGATTAATGAAGTTCCTAAATACCTACATACACCCACAACATAAAATGAGCCTCTGTAACACATCATCTTACTAGCTGCAAAGTATGGCAGCTATGAATTGCATATAAATTATATCTAATTTGTTTACATAATTCTCTATTACTGGACTTTTAGATTGTTTCCAAATGTTTGTTACTGTAAGCAGGACTTAGATAAAAATCCTTGTGGCTAAGTATTTGTGCAGATTTTTAATGGTTTCCTTAGAATAAATTCCTATAAGTGGAAGCATAGGCACAAGATATAGGCACAAACAAGGACTTCTGACCCATATTGCAAAATTATCCCACGAAATGCCAATGCCAATTTACTTTCCAATCTACAAAGTGGGGATAGTTTTTTTTTCCCTTTAGTCATCCTCACTAGTTAATAGTATTCAAGCCTGAATATTACTATCTTTTCTCCAATTTTTACCAACTTGGTAAGCAAAATTACATTATTTTTTTAAGTTTGTATTTCTTTAATTACTAAGAAAAGTGACAGGATTCATATTCACTCATTGAATTTGTTGCTACTGTGTGGCTACTGGCTGGTTATCTCTTGCCTGCTTTTCTATTAGGATCTCCTTCTTTCTGGTGTGTAAGAATTCTTTATATGCTAGCCATTTGTCATTAAGGATAATATGTCATTTGTGTTTTAATTTTGGTTAAGGTTTTATGTTCAGAAATGTTTAACTGGCACTTATTTTCTCAACAATAAAATGTGGTCAGAATTCCAGATTACTGACTTGTAAACAGGCGTTTGAAATACAACCAGTTGTACATGCATGGTCTTGTATACCCAGCTACTTTATTATTGGGTCTCATATGGTTTCTGCACATAAGCTCCTTGAAGGCACAAGTCATGACATTTCTTAAACCCTCTGTGCCACCCAGCACACGGTGCATGTTTGAGATGAAAATGTTTGAGGGGCTCCAAAATGTTTGCAATGAAAAAACACTGTCTGGGATTTGCTTTGAAGCAATCCCATTTGCAACGTGTGATAAAAATGAGGCAGAAGTGAAACAGAATCGGCCACATGTTAATTATTGCTGAAGCTGGGTCACAGATACATGGAGTTCATTATACTATTATTTCTTTTTTGTACATTTGAAGATTTCCATAATCAAAAGGATTTTTTCTTTTTCCTCTTTCTTTCTTTCTTTCTTTCTTTCTTTCTTTCTTTCTTTCTTTCTTTCTTTCTTTCTTTCTTTCTCTTTCTTTCCTTTTCTTTTTTCTTTATCGATTGATCACCAGCACCACAGTGGGGACTTCTAGAATAACAATGGTGATGAAAATGAATTACATACGCATCAAGGCCACTTTTATAGCATAAAAAAGTCAAAAGCACAGGCCTTGAAATTAGGTAGGCCTGGGTACAAATCCTTTCTAGTGCAGTGACCTTGAACCAGTTATTCAACCTCTTTGAAATTTAGTTTTCCTTTATAAATAAGGGTATTAGTAACTACCTCAAAGGGTTCCAGTGAAGATTAATGGGTGTAAAACGCAGTGCCTGGCACCAAGTAACACTCAGTAGAGTAGATCATTATTACTCAGTGATGCACATGCTTGACAAACTCCGGCCAACATTTCCTGGTGGTGCTAACCCAGTCCCCTTCTGCTATGGGCTGGGCTTCCAGTTAATCAGTTTGGGCACCAGACAACTGCTTGGCAGAGGACTTGGCAGAACAGATGTCAGAGATTACGTTCCTGACACCCAGAAGAGAAAACAGATAAGGCCACAGGAAAGGACAAAGCGCTTAACTAACTCCCAGCCTTACTCAGCAGGTCACCGGAGAGCCTTAACTCCACATTCCAATGATGTCATCAAGAACAAGAGTGATGAAGTCCTTCCAACAGCAGGTCATTCAAAACCTTGACCAAACGTTATCATCACCTGGGGAGCTTAGAATGTTTGGGCTCCACTCTTAGCATTTGGGGTGTAGACTATGTATCAAGGTTCTTAAGAGGCACATGTGACCTAATGTGCACCACCCTGCTGTGTTAAGCTGGGGTGGGGGTTGGGGGGGTACACAAAGAACACAGGGAAAACAAAGAAGAGAACAGAGACCGCCACATCGCACATGAACTCCATTAAAACCAACCAACTCATGTGGTCCCAAGCTGTGTCCCATGCCAAACAAATCCAGTCCCATTAGGGTCCCCCTCACTCCCTCCATAAACTTCAAGAGCACAGTCCTGCGTAATAATTCACAGGGCTAAAATATGGTAATAACATCAGGATGCGCGCATATCAATATTCTAAAGAATATTAAAGCAACACAGCTGGTCGCTGGATTTGGGTCTTAACAAAACAAAACAAAAAAAGTGCGGCTAAGGGACAGTGGAGGCTGGGGGAGGGAGAAAGCATTTTGTCTCACAGCCTTCAGGCAGCCTGTCGATGCGACTGAAGCACACTCAAAGAGGCAGCCTCATTTTGTGAAGTTATCGCCGTGTCTTTGATCAAGGGAAAGAGCACATCCATTTCAATCACTGTAACGAGGACGGGTGGGCCATTTGGCTGCCTGGCTGCCCACCGGGGGGAGCCAGCCTCGGGCCAGCAGACACATGGCAGTGCTTAGCGTGTCAAACAAATAAAGGGGTTCTCAACTGTCTATCCAAACTCTGCTGAACTTCAGAGGCCCTCTCTTTGAGCAATTCTGCCCCGACTAATCTGGAAGTTCCTTTCCGGCCAACACCACCTGGTCTGGACTGGCCTCGCCAAAACAAAAGCTGGCCAGCAGCTGTCTGTCACGAGGCAGCGGACACTTCAGAGCCGGGAGGGCAGGGGTCAACCTTCTCATGAGCAACACACTGGAGATGACACAGTCCTAGAGAAAGGGGGAAGTTGATGGCCATCAACTCCGCCTCCTCCCTATAACCTCTACCCCCAGCTGGGCCCCAAACTAGTCAAGAGAGGTCTGATTATCTTCCCCAGCAGGTGAATTCCCAGCAGTGCAGTTTCAAATACATACGCAAACATCACCTGCGTTCTTTTCACCAGAAGACATAATAAATAAAACATTGAGGAGGGGGAGGCTCAGCAAAAGGTTTCATTTTCCTTCTGTGACATCACCCATAACACCTCGGGAAGACACGAGTAGAACCAGAGTAGAGATGGGAGTCATGACCACGAAAATGCAAAACATTTCGATGCATTTGTGTGTTCCAAGGGTCGTGCGCACATGCACGTATTCAACCCTCACCCCAGCCCTATGAGGTACGCTATAGTGACTCTCACTAATAATGGTAATAACGATAGTAACATGTAATAAGATGTATAGTGTAATTACTATGATTAGATATGATAATAACGGAGATCATAATCTTCATTTCTCACAGAAGGACACTGACGCCCGGAGAAGCTCCGTGACTCGCCTGAGGCGGAGGGCTGGGACTCACACGGGGCGGTGTGGCTCCAGGACCCGTGTGTGAACCACAGCATGAGACTGCCTTCCTGCATCCCCACTCAGAGCCTCCCTGACAGCTGTCAGGTTACCCTGGAGGACCAGGGAGACGTGGGGGCTAGCAGGGTCTGAGTGCAAATCCCAGCTCTGGCACTTCTTGTCCCTGTAAATGGGGAAACCAACACCTGCCTCACAGGCCCGCCGTGAGGCTTACGTGAGAAAATGAAGAAGGGCGCCTCTCAAAGTGTCGCCAGCGAAGGTCAGTTTAAGCTAGCAGCTCTCAATCCTGGCCGAATGTTTGAATTGGTGAGGAACTTTAGCAAATATGATGCCTAGGCTCAGTTGGTTAAGTGTCTGACTCTCGGTTTCAGCTCAGGTCATGATCTCATGGTTCATGGGTTCAAGCCCCGTGGCGGGCTCTGAGCTGACAGCTAGGAGCCTGCCTGGGATCCTTTCTCTCCCTCTCTCTCTGCCCCTCCCCTGCTCATATGCACAGTCTCTAAATACATAAATAAACAAACATTTAAAAAATACGATGCCCAGACCCTTCCCCACCACCCCTCCATGCCTCTACCCCAACAAGCATCAGTCTGAAATCAGCAATCCCCAGGCCCAGCCCTGAAAAGAAACATGAAACCCATGAAACCAAAGGCCAGGCTACACCCTGTGCCCCCTTGATTCCAGAATTACAGAGAAGCTTTGAAACCCCTGAAGTGTCTGTTTCCAATCCCAAGATAGTGGGACTCCCCCAAATGCTGCCCTGTTCCACAGAGAGAAGCAGGCACCATGATCATCCCCAAACATGTGGCTGACTCACCCTCGTCCAGCAACCTTCCCTACTTTCACCCCCACAACACCTTCATCCAGCTGCCTCCCACCCCACAGACGACGTCCCCCATCCAGCCCAAAAGCTTTGTAAAGGGGCAGCCCACTGTCCCCATGCTGCCTGCTTTAGAAATAGTTGTGCCAACATCAACATAGCCAAAGTTACTTTTACACAAAGCACTAACCTGAAGACAATGCAGGATGAGAGGTGGGACTGCCTGAAAAGAAATGTTAAAATCCGGGTGCACGCACGTATGCACACGCACGCACACACATTCACGCCAAGAACCATGGTACAACGTGTACTCAACGGGAGCACTGCTTCCTTCGAGGACTCGGGGTAGGAAGAAGGGGAGTGCAGCAGGGGTAGAAATAAACAGTGAAGGGATTACCAGGGGTTGCCCATGGAAACTGGCAGGGCTAAGAAAAATAATCAGCCTGCATTTGACAGAAGAGAAAAATGGAGACAGCCAGCAGGGAGGATGGGGACCAAGCAATGCCAGTTTCCTGGCTCAGATTTCCATGCCCCTTCTCAGGACCCACTGCCAGCTGGCAAAGGGTGGCACGGAGGGCCCGGGAGGGGGAATGCAGACACCAGAAGGTAGCACCAGAAGGTGTCAAAGAGCCCTCAGCTGTTTCCCAGAAAGCAAAGGCTCTGAGGGGCCCTCCCACTCTCAAGCGCCTCCCCTCGGCCTCAGTCCAGGAAATGGGGCTAAGAGACGTGGCCAAGGCCTCACCTGGGTAAAAGAGCCATCCTCGCTGCACTCCGGGACAAACACCGCCTCCTGGGGCTTCTTGGCTTGCTCTAGGGCCTGCGCCCGCTCCAGGCGACACTTGCTCTGGCCAGCGTCTATAAGAGGAGACGAGGAGCGTATTTCATACTTCACCTGGATCCACGCAGGACCCACGGGACAAAATGGCCGCCTGGCACTAGGAATGCTGAGTGGAAAGCTCTCCGCCTGTGGGTGAGCCCACATACGAGCAACTGGATTTTCCCACAACACATAGGCAGTGGCTAGTGGCGCGTAAGTGCTGCTCGGCCTCATCGTCCTCTTAATCTTAATCTTAGAAAAGCCAGGGAGGTGTATTTATACCAGACTCTGCTTATTTTTTTCTCCCAAGTACCTTCAGCCACACCCACCCCCCAACCAGGGGAAAAAATATTTCACCTCTATTATCTTTCGCTGGGCTTATTAAAAAACTTGCAAGCCCAAGGGGTCTCAAAGATGCTTTATAGGTCAAGAATTGGGAGCATTTTCTCTGGAAGACCAGAAGCTCTAGGGCAACTTGCTCAGTCTCATGCCATTTCCTACAAGAGCTCTACGCAGCCCAGCGCTGATCAAATCACAAACTCCAGTCTCCACAGGGCCTAGGAAAGTGATGTAAATTAGGGCACTGAACTGGGTGTACAAAGAATGGCACTCAGCTTGGAGACACTGCAGGGAGTGCTGGGGACTTCGGCAAAGTGGAGAATGGGCTTCCCTTGAGAGGAGGAAGCTGCTACTCAGATCTAGCCATGTGGCTCCCTGTGGGAGGGAACACAGACCTAACAGTACCAGAGCTCCCAATTATTTATGAGAAGTACAAAACTCCAGATTTTTATGTTGAATCTCTCAATTCTAAAATGTTGTCTCAAATGTTTTTAATATTTTTAAACATGCGAGCAGCCCAAACAAAACACATCTGTTGGCCAACCATTTGGAATCCCTATCCAGGAGCCAACAATAACGTCTTGCCATTTTAAGCATCTCCGTTTACGAAAATAAAAAATAAAAATAAATGGCACTAGCCAGATAGTAGCACATCGTTCTAAGCCCTAGCCTGGTGGCGAGTGTTGGAAAGACGGAGAAGTACTCATTCCTTCAAGTAGGCCAGTCCTCCTTCCCATATTCCCTGGCGGGAGGGTGGACGGACAGTGGCGAACAAAATGAACAGACTCATTCTGAGCCTCCCCTGTGGCAAGCATGTCATGCAGGGAGCCATGGGGCCTGGGAGTCCCTTTTCTGCTAGGCGAACGTGCACACACTCACCTTTGCATCTACCGCGATGTACCACACCCAGGGTCGGGTCTCTGCACTTGGCTCGCTGGTACTCACACATTGACTCGTAGGACCTGCCGTCAGAGGCACAGATGGGTTTGGGCTGAGTCCTGGAGCAGTGGAGGTTGCACTGAGGGTCACGGTCACTTATGAGGAACTAGGTGGGAGAAAAGTGAAAGAGTATAGAGGTTAGTTTTGCAAGAAAAATAGGGGAGAGGCCATGCCTTACAATGCTGGTTCGCCTTGGGGAGCAAGTCCAGAATAAACCCAAAGTTATTAAACCCTAGAAGTAGAAGGGAACTGAGCAGTCACAGAGTCTAACCAAGGAAAGCATGCTGTGCTAAGTCATTCACAGGCAGGATCTCATTAATCCTCACAACAGCCCTATGAAGTAGGAACTATTTATTCTGTACATAAAGAAACTCAAGCCAGAAAGAGGTAACTTGTCCAATGTTACACAGCTATAAGTGATGGATTTGAACCTAGATCAGTCAGAAGTCAAATCAAAGCTTTCGCCACCTGGATATTCAGCCTCTCTATCCTTGCATGTGGTCACATGACCCCTGTTTGGGGACTTTCCCGAATCAGCAACTCACTAGCAATCTCTACATTCCAGCTTTGGGGAGCTGCATTTATTAGAAAGGAGTAGTGAGACCCAACTCCACCACCCTTCAATTTCTGCCCATCGCTCTCTGGCAGAAACAAGTGATTTTCTATGAGAAAAGGATTTCCTGATTTAAAAAGATAATAATCAGGGGTGCCTGGGTGGCTCAGTTGGTTAAGCGGCTGACATACGCTCAGGTCATGATCTCGCAGTTCATGAGTTCGAGCCCCACACTGGGCTCTGTGCTGACAGCTCAGAGCTTGGAGCTTGCTTCCAATTCTGTGTCTCCTTCTCTCTCTGCACCTCCCTGCTCACACCCTATCTCTCTGTCTCCCCAAAATAAATAAACGTTAAAAAAATTTTTTTAGAAAGATAATAATCAGATTGGGAAATACTGAGTGAAACAGGTTTCTTTCCTGCAGGACTTCTCTGATATCTTTGATACATTCTTACCCATTGTGGCCGTAGCAAATTGTGTGCTACTCTTCCTGTTGAGCTAACTCTCTCCCCTTGAATCTGCACTAGCCTCAGTAATTTGACCAATAAAATGCTGTGGAAAAGATGTTTTGGGACTTTCGAGCAAGGTCATATGAAGCTTTACAGTTTCCTCCCAGCCCTCTTACAACACTCACTCTGGAGGAACTCAGTCAGTACATAAGAAGCCTAGGAGCCCCGAGACCACCATGCTATGAGGAAGCCCAAGCTAACATGAGACAAAACCATGTGCAGAGAGAAATGCACAACCAACCGAGGCACAGAGATGCGAGTGAAGAAGACATTAGATGAGTCCGCCCCCTACTATCATCTGATTGCATAAAAATAATAAAAATAAACAAAAATAATTGCATGAGACACCCCAAGTGAGAACCACCCAGCTGAGCCCAGTCAATCCATGGAACTGTAAGGGATAATAATAAATGGATGTACTAAGCTATCAAATTTTGTGGTAGCCTGTTACACAGCAATAGATAACCAAGTCAAGGGGCATGTAGGATAATGCATCTCCCATTCATCTGACCGTGAACCCTTTTTTAGTGAACCCCTGTTAGCAAGTATAGGATACAGCTGGAAAACAATAACTGGGTCATAGAATCCATGAGCTTCTGTTGAATAACCCATGATTAGGCTGCATGGGCTGCATCCACTCTTCTCTACCCCTAAAGAGCAGAGTTCTAAGCCCACTCAAGGCTCTTCATCAGTACAGGCTGACAGAATGCATAGCCACAATAATGCATGGCAATGTTGTGAGCACAGGTCTGGCCATTGGTAACGCTGGAGCTGACTGAAGAATTACACCAACCTCATAGGGTTTAGGGAGGTGTGAATACAACCCCTGTTTCTGATGTATCTTCAGGCCCTTTGTGCAAAACAACCAGATGAGAGTTTGACCCTTTTCCAGAACAGCAGAGGGAGTCCAGAGGCAGTAGTACCACTCCCTTCAAGAGAGGACCAGGTACACACACCCCACCCTGGCCAAATTCCAGGAGAGTCCAAGCCTGTCCGCTAGGACACACGCTGTCCCCCAAATGTAAAACCAGTTCTTCCTGCGACCCTGACCTCATGCCTGAATGCTGGGTGCTCTGCACAGGGAGGGAGCAGGTGAGGGCTGAAATCATGCAGGCCTCCTCAGGATGGACAGGGCAACTTGTCTTCCCTACAGACCGTCTGGGCTCCCACACACAAGGGTTCAACCTGACTCCTGCCCAAATCCAGAAGGAAATGTCCTGATAGCATCTCACACTACAGTCTAGTATTCTGGGAGTGAAACTGATACCATAGGAAGCCATATCCAGAGGAAGCTCCCTGCCTCCCAGGTGGCCACACAGAGGAGAGAGTTTGAGCTGACAGGATAGCAGAAGGGAGAGGTGCCATCCACACCTCCACCCTGCATGGGACCCTTGGCCTCACTCCTGTCAGGTGGACCCTGTTTGAAACTCTTGAGTGGGAGCGCCTGGGTGGCTCAGTCGGCTGAGCGTCGGACTTTGGCTCAGGTCATGATCTCACGGTTCGTGGGTTCGAGCCCCGTGTTGGGCTCTGTGCTGACAGCTCAGAGTCTGGGGCCTGTTTCAGATTCTGTGTCTCCCTCTCTCTCTGACCCTCCCCTGCTCACGCTGTCTCTCTCTCTCTCTCTCAAAAATAAATAAAACGTTTAAAAAAAATTTTTTAATTAAAAAAAAAAAAAGAAGAAGGG